AGAATAGAATAGAACAGAATAGAATAAGAAATAGGAATAGGAATAGGAATAGGAATAGAAGAGTTGAAAGAGTTGCCTAGGCAGGAAACCCTACACCACTTCAGGCAAATGGTTATTCAATCTCTTCTTAAGAACTTCCAGTGTTGGAGCATTCACAACTTCTGGAGGCATTTGTTCTCACTGTCAGGAAATTTCTCCTTAGTTCTAAGTTGCTTCTCTCCTTGATTAATTTCCACCCATTGCTTCTTGTCCTGCCTTCAGGTGCTTTGGAGAATAGCTTGACTCCCTCTTCTTTGTGGCAGCCCCTGAGATATTGGAAGACTGCTATCAAGAATCACACTCTCCCCTCCAAAGTCAAATAAATTTGCTTTTTGGATATCTTTTGTCATTGTCAATGGCACTCAAAGCTGGGCCACAGCAACTGAGAATTGGACTGGAAAGGGGCTGCACCCATGCTATAAAACTTCCTCACTAAAATAAAAACAGACTGTCCCCTTGTGTACAGTCATGAATGGTGTTCTTATCTAACAAGGGAAAGGGACAAGGGATCAAGGTCACCACAACACTCATCCTCTTGGGTGGCTTATTATCATCCTGGGTCACAGCTAAAAAATTATGAATCCCACTTTTAATACCAGTTTCTGTGAAATCCAAATTCAGGATCCCAAACAAATAATCAAGGTTCATTGCAGTGTTTATTAAGCAGTATATACTATGGAAAGTTGAAGTAGGATCAAAAGCACAGTCATGGTTCCACTTCATTTAATTACCAAGTTGCTGGCGCCAGTTTGGTTGCTAAACAACGATTACTTGTAACTTCGCTTAGTTTTTGCCCTTATTATTATAATTCTTTCTCCTACAAATAATACATAGGAAAAAATAAAATGTTGACATTTACTTAAAATTTCCCTCCATTCTCCATAGAGGAGAATTCTTTCTAGCATATCCAGAGGTGGTATTCAATAGGTTCTGACCAGTTTGGAGTCTGTTTTCACTGGCAGAGCTCTCGGGCAGCTACAGGCACCCAAGAAATGAGTGATGTTGACCTGGACATGTCCCTTGGCCACGCACCCCCCTTCCCCAGGGTCAAACACAGCCCTGCTGCAGCCCTCAATGAAATCGAGTTTGACACCCCTGGTCTTAGATGGTCATTAGAAAGCATCACAGAGATAAGAAAAACTTTTCCCTGGTGGGGTCTGAATCAGAGGTCGTATTCAGCAGGTTCTGACCAGTTCTGGAGAACTGGTAGTGGAAATTTGAGTTATTTGAAATAGTTTGGAGAACTGGCAATGCCACCTCTGACTGGCCCCACCCCATCTATTCTCTGCCTCCTGAGTCCCAGCTGATTGGCTGGCTCTTCTTTGGTTGCCCTGCACAGGAGAACGGAGCTGGAAAGCAGGTTAGTGGAGTGAGGAGGGAATGGGGATTTTGCAGTAACCTTCTCCCAGGAGTGGGGAGGGAATGGAGATTTTGAAGTATCCTTCCCCTGCCACAACAACTAAGACATGCCCACCAAGCCATGCCACACCATGCCCACTAAGCCACACCCACAGAACCAGAAGTAAAAAACATTGAATCCCACCAGTGAGCTTATCTATCTCAAGCCTAGGTGTATTCCTCATTTGTAATGTAATTTTTAATTGTTGAACCCAATTAACAAAAGATATTTGTGAAGCACAATTTGCCCAGATAAGAAAATGCAACAGGGGCCTAATCATTTTGCTTTCAACCAGAGAGTAGTTCAGTTTCAAACAGATAGTGAACTACAGAATCCACAGTCCTGCTGGAGGAATAACCAGGGTAAATAGAATAGAATAACAGAGTTGGGAGGGACCTTGGAGGTCTTCTAGTCCACCCCCCCCTTAGGCAGGAAACCTTATACCCTTTCAGACAAATGGTTATCCAATCTCTTCTTTAAATTTCCAGTGTTTGTAGTATTCACAACTTCTGGAGGCAAGTTGTTCCATTGATTAATTATTCTGTCAGGAAATTTCTCCTTAGTTCTAAGTTGCTTCTCTCCTTGATTAGTTAAAGTGTGACCAGAAAGAGTTTTGAAGATCAAATCTACTAATGTGTGATGCCTTGCATACGTTTTTAGAGATCAGAGATCATACATGAAAATATGATCTTTAACAATGAATAAGGAAATAAGTCAGTTGATTTATTTTTTTCCAATTAGCTGTTCCTTTACATTCAGATGTGGTCTTAGTAAAATAATGTAGCACTTGGAGATAAAGATGCAGATCAACAGACCAGCACTGGATGCCAAGATGGAGAAGACCTGCACAGCCACCATGTACTTCCCTTTGGTGCTCAGGTAGGCAGGCACAAAGGACACCCAGACACTGCAGAAGACCAGCATGCTGAAGGTGATCAGCTTGGCTTCATTGAAAGCCCCAGGTAGGTTTCTGGCCAGATAAGCCAGCACGAGTGAAATTGCAGCCATGAAAGCCATGTAGGCAAGGGCACCATAAAACATGGAACGAGACCCTTCATTACACTGAAGTATAATCTTTTCTGTCTGGGAGTGCATGTCAGACTCAAGGAATGGGGGGGAGACTCCCAGCCAGATGCTGCAGATGACCACCTGGACACTGGAAGAACAAAGAACTATGGTATTGGGTAATCTTTTCCCTAGCCATCTCCTTATGCTGTTCCCTGGCTTTGTGGCCAGGAAAGCAAGCACAACTGTGATGGTTTTGGACAAGACAGAAGAGACAGCAATTGAGAAGATGATGTTGAAGGCAGTTTGTTGGAGAAGGCAAGTGGCTCTCATTGGCTGGCCAATAAACAGGAAAGAGGTCAAGAAGCAAAGAAGGAGGGAAACCAGGAGGATGTACGAAAGGGCCTGGTTGTTGGCTTTGACAATGGGAGTTTTTGTGTGCTTCAGAAAGATTGCTAACACAAAGGCTGTAATTAAAGAGAAGAAGAGTGCAATTGAAGCCAAGATGGTCCCCAGACATTCACTGTAGGCCAGAAAAATTATTTCCTTAGGACAACATTTATTTCGTAAGTTATTTGGATGCTGATCTTCTGGACATTTCCTGCAATGATCTGCATCTGAGGAGAAAAAAATAGAAATGTCTATTATCTTTTGCTATGCTTCCCAAGATAAAACCAGTGTCATGATTGACTCATTATGCAACCCTGCTCACAACTAGACCACAGTAACAGGGGAGGGGGAAGGAAAGCATTGAAGTGTCATGGAGATTTGGAAGGGAACCCTGTAATGCAAGTATACCTCCTGGAAGTGTGAGAAAGACTCAAACCCCAAGGACATCACCTGTCAGCCTCCAAGGTTCCTTCTTCTGCTTGACTCTTTCTGGCTGCCATAGAAATTTGGGGGGGAGGAATAATTGGGCCTCGTGGGGGGAAGGCTAGTAGAAGTTGAAGTTGTGTGAATTGTAAAAGTTGGGGTGCTTTCTTGCTTACTGTGCAAATGCAGCCAATTATCTTTCTAGGCCAAGGTCAACCTTCATGGCATACCAGATGTTTGAGATGCAATCTGAAGATGTACTCACATGACATTACACACACCTCAGATTGGATGTCCGTTTGAATGGTTGGGGGTGGGGACATGGGATAACTTTCTATATGTAATTCCCAAACCTTTTGCTTCAGATCTTGTATTTCTCCTGTTGCTACCACTTCAATTTCAGTAAAAGTTCTTTTCTCTATACAAATGGAGTCTAAGGTTCTCTTTCTTGGATTTTGAGCGGAGCCAAACCTGACATCACCTGGAAACACCCAAGGCAGACAGGCCGCTTCCAAAATAAAGCAAGTGCAACTGATCAATGGACAATGGATAATGGGAGGTCCAAGAGGAAAAGGGAAACGTTTTCCTATGCTGTTTGTGGGCAAAAATGTCAGAACTGGCTTTTCTAATTCTGTACCCATATGGCTTTTCAGTAAAGTTATACTCTGGGAGAAAAAAATGCCCCAGGAGGTGTTTTTTTTTTTTTTTTTTTTTTGCTGTTTGACGCAGTGGGATGGTTGACAACCATACATGAAAGTTATAGGAAAGCCAAAGGAAGATATGATGTTTGAGACTGTGTCCATTTTTATTAAAAACCAAGTTCATTTTTATGCTTGTAAACAGTAGTGGTTTATTAACTTAGACTAATGAAGGTTTTATTGACTCAGTTAATCAACCATGATCGATCTTTCTCCTCTATATCAGAGGTGGTATTCAGAAGGTCCTGACCAGTTCTGGAGAACCGGTAGCGGAAATTTTGAGTAGTTCAGAGAATCAGCAAATACCACCTCTGACTGGCCCTGCCCCCATCTATTATCTGCCTCCTGAGTCCCAGCTGATCATTGGGTCTTCTTTTGTTGCCCTTCACAGGAAAACAGAGCTGGAAAGCAGGTTAGTGGGGTGGGAAGGGAATGGGATTTTGCAGCAACCTTCCCCCAGGAGTGGGGTGGGAATGGAGATTTTACAGTATCCTTCCCCTGCCACACCCACCAAGCCACACCCATAGAACTGGCAGTAAAAAAAATTGAATCCCACCATTGCTCTGTATACTTTATCTTAAAATGTTTGGGTTGTTTGGAAAAACTGCCCAAGAAGAATAGATGACAGAGGTGGAATCTTCACACAAGCTATTGATATGAACCGATGCTACACTTATTTTGGACACAAGGCCAAAGATTATTAAAGAAGCATTAGTGTTCTTATTGAAGAGCTGACCATTTCCTCTGGGATTACTCACCTTCCTGATTGGAGAAAGTCCCTTCTGCACAGAAAACACAGTCATAGCAGCAAATGGGCTTCCCTTCCTGGTGCACCATGAAAAATCCAGACTGACAACTTTCCACACACCTGGAAGGAGGCAGAGTCTGTGCACAAAAAATCAGGAACATAAAAGAATATAACTTCTCAAAGAAAAAAAGAGGGAAAGACCTCAGGTTGGTCTTGGTTTAACCTGAAGCCTGTTACCCAGGGGTGGGATTCAAATATTTTAACAACTGGTTCTGTGGGCATGGCTTAGCTAGTGGGCGTGGCTTGGTGGTCATGTTATTGGCTGGGCGTGGCCAACTCAACATCACTCACATTGAGGCACGCATCTCCTCGCCTGGCCTCTCATGACTGTGGGGATGCTGCAACAGTTGTAAGTGTGAAAAATGGTCATAAGTCACTTTTTCAGTGTCATTGTAACTTTGAATGCACACTCCACACAAGCAAAGTACCAGCAAAGGAGGAAAAAAAACTCCAGAGATGTTCTTGAGACAGAAAGTCTAGTCCTGCCAAGAATGTAATAAGGGTTAATGGAGAGGCAGTTTCTGTAAGCAACACCAGAATGTTTCCTTCCTGCCTTCCTTACAGGATTAGGACAGTAATTTCTTCTAACAACCGGTTCTCCAAACTGCTTAGAATGATAACAACTGGTTCTAGTGAATAGGTGCAAACCTGTAGAATCCTACCCCTGCTGTTACCAAGACTAAGCCAATTTAATTGCAACAATTACATATGGTTGAAGTTATCTCTTGGTTTGAGTTCAAAGAGATCAAGGCTAGGAGGAGGTTCTTCTCTGTTATTGTCCCCATGCTATAGAACAGGGGTATCAAATTCATGTCATCACAGTGGTGTCACACAGTGGTGGGATTCAAAAGAATTTACTAACCAGTTCTGTGGGCATGGCTTGGTGGGTGTTGCAGGGGAAGGATATTGTAAAATCTCCAGTCAGAGATGGTATTTGCTGGTTCTCCGAATTACTCAAAATTTCCAATACCAGTTCTCCAGAACTGGTCAGAACCTGCTGAACACCACCTCTGGTGTCATGTGACAATTTGTGACTTTTTTCCCCTTCGCTAAACTGGACGTGGCTGTGGCCAGCATGTGATGTATCCAGCTCATGGAATGCGAGTTTGACAGCTGTGCTATAGAATATGGGAAATCAGATGTTGCTTTGAGCCTATTAGCTTTCTAAAGAGTTCCTCTACAATCCCTTTTTATTATTTATTATTTTTACATAGTGGCGCTTCTTAAAAGGTAAAGGTAGAGGTTCCCCTTGCACATACGTACTAGTCGTTTCCAGCTCTAGGGGGCAGTGCTCATCTCCATTTCAAAGCCGAAGAGCCAGCACTGTCCAAAGATGGCTCCATAGTCATGTGGTCAGCATGACTAAATGCCAAAGGCGCACAGAACGCTGTTACCTTCCACCAAAGGTGGTCCCTATTTTTCTACTTGCATTTTTATATGCTTTCGAACTGTTAGGTTGGCAGAAGCTGGGATAAGTAAAGGGAGCTCACTCCATGATGCGGTGCTAGGGATTCAAACCGCTAAACTCCTGACCTTTCTAATCAACAAGCTCAGCATCTTAGCCATTCCTTATTTTGTCTGAAGACAATTATGAACATTATTTTTATGATTTTATTATTTTAAGCTGGCATTGTTTATACTTCTGAATTCTCAAGAGTCAAATGATTGTGGTGGTCTAAAATTGAATACATAAACAAAACAGCAAATTGTGTCTTCCTATGAACTTTCTGTGTACCTTTTTTTAAATTACTCATAATCAGTTTTTATCTAAGTCTTTGGATTTAGTCCAGCAGAAGAATATGTAAGCGACACGGAGAAATTCTTTGCAACTATTTTGAATTTTTGCAACACTTCCTAGATTCTTTGCAAGCACTTCACTGAGCATGTATTGTACTTCTTAGCAGTGGTGGGATTCAAATTTTTTATTACCGGTTCTATGGGTGTGGCTTGGTGGGCATGGTGTGGCTTGGTGGGTGTGGCAAGGGGAGGATACTGCAAAATCTCAATTTCCACCCCACTCCAGGGGAAGGTTACCGCAAAATCCCATTCCCTCCCCACCCCACTAACCTGCTTTCCAGCTCCGTTCTCCTGTGCAGGGCAACAAAAGAAGACCCAGCCGATCAGCTGAGACTCAGAAGGCAGAGAATAGATGGGGGCAGGGCCAGTCAGAAGTGGTATTTACCAGTTCTCCGAACTACTCAAAATTTCTGCTACTGATTCTCCAGAACTGGTCAGAATCTACTGAATACTACCTCTGCTTCTTAGAACAAAAAAAAAAAAAAAAATAGAACTAAAATTAATGAAATGGTTTTCATACCTTGTTAAACCATTTAGGCCAAATAATGGCATTCTGGTCAATAACAAATTTGGGTTCCTGGGAATTCCCTCTTGCAAAACTCCCAAATTTCACTCTGACAAGAGACCTGTTAGGAGAATTCAACCAGTTCACAATATCAAAGTCAGCTGCGAGCTCTTGGTTATCATCCAAATATACCCCATCCATGGAACTGTTGTAAAAATGGGGGCTTTGCAGGAAAGGATGAATCTAGCATGATAGGAAAGATAAAGTGTTGTTTTTAAAAATGAAAAGGCTTGACTCAAGTTATCGATTTTTCAAATTTAGGATTTGACATTAAAAAATTTCAAGTTTAGTTCTACTTGTGGATATCTCTGTAAAATTTTCTTGGCCAGAAGAATGAAATGATTTGTCCTGGTTTTTTTCTGTGTGGTTGCCAATGGACAGGTCTAGAGGGCACCAAGTGGAAAAGACTGGTACAGAATTGTTAGGAATAACCATAGTTACCTAACGTTGTTTGGGTAAATAATATATAAACCATGATAGCAAAGTTTAAATGT